TTCACACATAACAATATTTGCCATGCCACCATGAGTCACGGCAACGACAATTTACTGTAAAGGAATGCCACTTGCCGATAAGCCTCTAATCACATAACCAATAGTGGATGGAAATGGTTCGATATACATATGAATGCATTTCTCTATTAACAAATAACTGCTACATTAATTTCGAGCACTTCCTTTTAAACTTTCATGTAATTTCTCTTTGGATCCAATTCAAGATCATTAGAGAGAGAGCGAAAGAGAGTAGGCAACATCATAATGACTCATGACTGGTGCGCTCTCTTCAGGCATACACTGATAACTGTAACCAGGCTGTACAATGTCCAGAGAGAATTTAGAGAGAACGTGATATCACAGAAAAGGTGTTTGATACGTGTTTGTTATTGCTTTATCAACAGATTTGAAAAAGGGTGTCAAAAATGAAAACTAACTGACGAGACAGTGGACATGTGATATATGTACATTTTCAAATGATTCTTATGGGAAATAATTACCAGTTTGATTGTGCGATCAGCTGTTTCTCACATTATTGAAATTACCCAAAGTTAAATGTTTTCTGCAGTTTATTATATCTAAGAACTAGAGAATTTGCTTCCATTATTCATTCACTGTTAATTTCATGCTATCCGCATTAAATTTTGTAAGAAATTTATCCTCTAACGAAATTTATTAAACATCCCACGAAACTGCACGAAACACTGAAATTTCCAATACCGCTGCCGAACGTCAACTCCCACAATAATAAAACATTTGTTTTCATGGCCCAAAATCCCCAAAGCATAGCAATTTTTATGTATTTTCTGACCTTGGGGCCGCACCAGCGGCAGCGGGGAGTCAATACGAAGGAGGACATGACCTAGGAGCCGGGTTGCCAGGCCAGCAGTCAGCTTGTCTGACCATAAAATACAAGACACGGAATGTTGTGCCACTCACATTATGCAACTGAACAGCCACCCCGCAAAGGGGGTGGGGGGCTGTTTTGCTGTGGGGTGGAGAGGGGAATTTCAACCAAGATTACCCAATGCCAGAGTGTCGCTAATGCTTTATAATCCTTTGCAGTTGTCCTTATCGGTGACTCGGGTGTTGGCAAAAGTAATTTGCTTTCACGTTTCACGCGCAATGAATTCAATTTGGAGTCCAAGTCGACGATTGGTGTGGAGTTTGCAACGCGCAGCATAGAGGTAAGTAAGAGGGAGTGGGTGTGGGTGTGGGTGGCCAAAGGAGCAGCAGCAGCACAGCACCTCTTTTGAGGAGGAGGGTCGTTGCTGGGTTTCTTGTGTCTGCGTGTGGGTTTCGCTGGCAGGACACAGTGGTACCGTGGTGCCGTCTGCTGAAAACATGAAACAAATGCCCTCCACATTATTAGCTTTAAATTTAAAAAAAAAAATCGGCACATTAAAGCATGAAATCACTTAAATTGATTTATACAGAAACAAATTAAAGTTTAACTGAGAAAAACTTCATTTTGGCATCACTGTGTCGCAGCTTGTTTATTGATTTTCAAAATGCGAAACTGCCACAGCCGCAAGGATATCATGGCCGAATTGCCAATTACCGTCCATCATCCTAATGTTTCATGCTTCTCTCCTCCCCCCACATTCACAGGTCGATAGTAAGACAATTAAAGCGCAAATCTGGGATACGGCTGGTCAGGAGCGCTATCGCGCCATTACCTCTGCCTACTATCGCGGTGCTGTTGGAGCTCTGCTGGTCTATGACATTGCCAAGCATTTGACGTACGAGAATGTGGAGCGATGGCTGCGTGAGCTGCGCGATCATGCCGATCAGAACATTGTCATAATGCTGGTGGGCAATAAGTCCGATTTGCGACACTTGCGATCGGTGCCAACGGACGAGGCGAAACTGTTTGCCGAACGAAATGGCTTGAGTTTCATAGAAACATCGGCCCTCGACTCGACGAACGTTGAAACGGCATTCCAGAATATACTCACAGGTTAGTTTAAAGGAGAATGTGTGGGCTCTCTGAACTTTGCTAATAGAACGCAATATTTTGTTTGTGTTTTGCAGAGATCTATCGTATTGTGTCGCAGAAACAAATTAGAGATCCGCCGGAAGGCGATGTCATTCGTCCGTCGAATGTGGAGCCCATCGACGTTAAGCCGACTGTCACAGCTGATGTACGTAAGCAGTGCTGTCAGTGACCGCCCCATGCAACATCGGCAGCAGCAGCAGCAGTAACGGCAGCAGCTACCACCCGCAACCGCCAGAACAGAAACATTAACAAAAGCAACAACAATTACAACTACAAACAACAAAAACAACAACAACAGCAGAAGCAGCAGCAACAGCAACCAGAGGAGAACCGCATAAGAAGATATGGATTGCATCTGTCGTTTGTTCAGCCACAGCCACTAGCAGTTTGTCATATATGCATAAATTGATAATTCAAATCATCAACACCACCAACACCAAGAAAAACAACAACAACAAAACAACAACAACATCCGGCTGTAGTTAACTGCGGTTTAAACTGAAATTTTATATATATATAAAAATATCGCATTAAACGATCCAATCATCGTCGATGCATGAAAAAAACGGATAACAAAAGAAGAAAAACTAAACACTCCAAATTCAGTTTAAGCTGTAGAACTATAATTTATAAAATATACATATATGCTAATATTAAAAATATTAATATTATTAATTTTTCGCAACATAAATACATAGTTGTAATTTTTCGAAAAACAAGAACAACAAAATCTTCGATTGAATGTTCAAAAATCATTTTCCCGCCCTCCGCACTGCAGCTCGGCCTGGCACTAGCTTATCGCCGATATTTTAGCCCCTCAAGACCCCATCTAAAATCAATTGCAGAACTTTACTTTAACTTTTCAGTTTTCACTATACATTTCAAAGAATTGGCCTCCTTAAAAGCAACTTTTCAAAACTAGCTGATAAACGAAACGAAACATAAAAACAGTTGTAAAACTTTAAATGCATAAATGAAACGAAATAACATCATTTGTGTTTGCTATGTTAAGTGTGATTAAATAAATATAATTTAAATACAAGAAAACCAACCCATCGAGCGCTCATTTTTCCAAAACATCAATTTGAATTATATTTTCTTGTTGGGTAGTGTGACCAGGTTTTTTGTAATGGTGGAATGATGGGATTTGCACTTTTATTGTTCAAACCTTATTTTCGGAAAAACACAATAAAAAGAGTCATACAAATTGGCCAATCTTCTAGAAAATAGATTCATAAATTGGATAAAATTAAGTGCTTAGTGCTGAGGGTCCTAACTAGCTTGTAATATTCAACAGAATATCAAAATCACGGCCTATGAGATCCCATCATGAACTGAGAACGCTTAACCCATTGTCCACTAGTGGGTATTGTTTAAATACAGCGGGGCCAAGTGGGTTAATATACCTTATCGATAGGTCCGCTACACGTGCTACTTGGAATCAGACCAAAATGGGACGCGGAAAGAAAAAAGTGCATCCTAAGACGCGTACAGCTGCTTTCAAGGCCAGCGAACCGAACGAAATCGTTGAAGCTCCCCACTCTTTTGTCATACATCGAGGACTAACATGCCCGTACATCACAGACCTCACACTGGACTTTCGCCGCATCATGGAGCCATTCACGGCGACCAACTTGCGGGAGTCGCGAATGAATCGCATCAAAGACTTTGTCAGCTTGAGCAGCTTCTTTCATGTCTCGCACATGACCATCTTCAATAAGGCATCCACACAGTTGTCCTTCAAAGTGGTGCGCCTTCCGCGAGGTCCTTCGCTGACATTTAAGGTTCGTGTGTTGCGGCAATGCATTTGCTTTATAAATCCATATGGCATGACATATTCAACAGGTCCACCAATTTACACTAGCCCGGGATGTGATTTCTATAGCCAAGAAGCAAATGATTGACAGTGATCACTTCAAGCAAGCCCCGCTGGTCATCATGAACAACTTCAGTGGCGATGGCAATCATCTGAAGCTGATGGCAAGCACATTTCAAAACATGTTCCCGTCGATTAACCTGAATACGGTTAATATTGGCACTATACGCCGTTGTGTTCTGTTCTCGTATAATCCGGACACGAAGCTCGTGGAGATGCGTCACTATTCGGTGGAGGTTGTGCCCGTGGGTCTGAATCGCGCAGTTAAGAAAATTGTCACGGGCGTCGTTCCGAACCTAAACAAGTACAACGACATTGCGGATTTTGTTGCGAGGTGGGTCTCTGCAGTGCACAACAGGTGTGTGTGTGTGTGTGCAATTTGTATTTATGTGGTTTTTCCTTTTAGAGATGGGAACGCATCTGAATCGGAGGCCGAGGATGACGAACAGGCGCATGTGGTGCTGGCGCAGACGCTCAAGAGCGGCGGAAACTTGGAGGGAAATAAGAGTACCATAAAGCTGCACGAGATCGGACCACGTCTGACCATGCAGCTGATCAAAATAGAAGAGGGACTCTTTACCGGCGAAGTGCTGTATCACGACCATGTCGTGAAGACGGAGGATGAAAAGGAAACGATGCGAAAGATAATTGAAAAGAAGAAGAAGCTTAAGGAGCAACGCAAGAAGGAGCAGACTGAGAATCGGGCGCGCAATTTGAAACTGAAGAAAGACCAGAAATGGGCAGCCAAAAAAGAAGCCGATGGGATCAACAGCGATGCTGATGATGATGCTGCGTACTACAAGGAGGAAGTGGGAGAGGAGCCAGATGAAGGTAACGTATAGTAGTACGCCACCATTCCAGCCAACATATTAAAGGTTTCCTTTTGCAGAGCTCTTCAAACACGAGGAAAGATCCTCTCGCAAGCGACACAGTCTGCCCGGCGGCATGAAGTACAAGAATAAGAAGGCAAAGTTGGACCCCAAGAATGATAAGAAAGAAAAGTTTGACCACAAAAATGAGAAGAAAGAAAAATTTGATCCCAAAAATAGGGGCAGAGCAAAGTTCGACCACAAAAACAATAGGAAAACCAAGTTTGACCCCAAAAAGAATAAGAAATCAAAGTAGTATTTTAAATAAAAACTATTTTCTACACATTTTTTGCTGTCTGAGAATCTTAACAATGAGTATGTATATGTATTTTAAAACTAGCTAAACATTCTTTGTACGACCTCCTTGTAGTGGGCCTTGCTATCCTTCCAGCTGGCCGCAATTTTGTCCCGCAATTTGCTGAAATCTCGTTTCTCCTCGTAGTCGTGCACCCGCTCTATGGTGGCCTGGGCCTTGGCGAACTCTTTCATGTGATAGTAGGCCAAGGCGCGACGGTAAATACTCTTCTCGGTGGGGCTCTCAGCCCTCTCCACAAACTCTGTGTGATAGATAACGTGCTCGTAGCGCTCCTCCTGCAACATGCATGCGGCCAGGTTAGTCTGTAGCTGAACAAACAAAGCCTCCACGATGGTGCCATTGATGCCATTGGACTTCTTGGTGAGTTGGTCGAAAGGTTTGTACGTGATGAGCAGCTTTGCGGCCCGCGCAAAGTAATCAAATGCAAATTTTGGATAGCTCTTAAACATGGCCACTCCACTCTCCTTGAGCCGCAGCGCTAGTTCATAGATCTCGGCTGCGTTAAGCTTGTGCACTTGGGGGTTTTTAACAATCAGCTCTAGTGTCAAATCAAACTCGATTCGTTCGCCGGTCTTGCTGGTAATGCTGCACGCGGCGGTTTCCCCCGGCAGGAATTGCTGCAGCAGCATCTCCACATAGCAGTCCACGGGCGTTATGGCAGTCCCCATTTCCAAGGTATGTTGCTGGGGAAATGTCAAGGACTCGTCGCTGTCCAGATACTTGCTGGGCCTGTCCCCCAAATTGGCGCATTTGTTGACGCTAAATAGCACTGTGCTGGCAGCCATCGGCTTTGCCATGTCGCCGAACTGCAGGCCAAGTACCTTCTTGCTCAGGCCGCGCTTCTCGTCCTTCCATTCTGTGCCAACATACCATCCATCCATCTTAATAGAGCGCAAAAGAAAAGAGTCTTGTCTTGCAATATGTTAAAAGAAAAACCAACCAAAAGAAAACCGACGTCAGAGGCCTTATTAGAGGTGTCAAACCATCGAGGGCACTATCGATAGTATCGATATTTTAATGATGGCCTCTACTGTCGACGGTTTTGAGACTATCATGATAGTATCGAGCTACAGTCGTTGCGCTTTTGATATGTTTGGATTGGTATTTTTTTGATTTTGATATTCCGTTTAATATTAATAGCTAGCTGGGACGCGTTATTCCATACGCGTTCCCGTAAGATACATTTGATTTTGTATGGGAAAAATTTCAGCAGCATGCTGCCACACCACGAAAATGAGGGGAAAGTCTCCACAAAAACACTCTATTCTCCACTGAAAAGAGAGCACTCTCCACGAATTGAGAGCAAATTTTGAAAACTCCACGAATTGAGAGCGAGTTTTGCAAACTCTCCACGAATTGAGAGCGAAAAATGTCAGTATTTTTGGTGCGCTAAATTGAGTTTGGCGGTTTAAAAAATAGATTGGAACTTGATTAAACTACTTTTATATACCGATATAAAGAGATGAAAGCGAAGAGCTACCCAGAGTGTTCAAAAATATGTAGTACTGTAACACTGTGGCGCCCCCACAGAGATAGGCGGTCATTTCCCGAAGCTCCGAATACAGTTAGTCTCAACTGGCGCGATTTGCGTCTGATCTTATACTATACAAAATTCTTTAAGAAAAATTTATAAAAAAAATCCAATGCAACTTTTTGTGTATACCTTTTTTTATTTCTAATTATCTGTAACCTAGTATGCCCATTCGCGCAATACGCAGTTGCTCTGCCATCGTATAACAAGCTGCATTCCATACACTAAACAGTTTTACAAATATTTTGGAGTATGTTTCATATTCAATCAACTTTTTTGTTTGTTTGTAGTAAAACGTTATGTACATACATTAGTTAACGCGGAAGCAGCGATCATGAGGGATCAGATCAAGTATTAAGCATTGGAGCTTAACTTACAAATAGCAATACATAAAGTAAAAGTAACCATCGATCACAATCAACGATCTATGTATACATATAGATATAGATATTCATATATGTATGTGTATATATATATATATTGTATATTGATGACCTGGAAATTTCCTATTTTCTACATACATCTGTATATTGCTATAATCTATAGTTATCATATATCAATCAATGAAATCGGTTATATATATTGCAGTATAATAGAATTAATTTTCGTTCACATACTCGTGTATTCCATATACGTAGTGTTGTATTATACCGAACGCAGACAGACCCACTCACTTGTCATGTCTTGTTTCACACAAAGATTTTAAATTAATTTGTATATATTGTTGAGTAAACTTAGATTACAAATATTTGCCAATGGATTACTAAGCTTAACTTTAACTTTACATTTAACACAAACATTAGGCAATAGGCATACCATACATATATACTTAAGTCACAAATGTGCATTGCGAAAAACCAAAAGCATGCTTTGACAATTCAAATTCAAATTCAAATGAAGCGAGACACTAACTAACATTATTCTAAGGACTAATTCCTCATTCCGGTCTGCAGTTTCCAATCTGTGCAACGAATATCCAATTCGCATACACAGTTTTCCAATTTACTTAAGGCCGTTCCGCGTGTGCCCTCCGGGGCTAACAGTTTAAGCTGCCGGAGCGCAATGCAATAATGCATGTATTTGTGTATTTGAGCTAAATAAACACTTAAATTAACACGGATCGCGCGCATGCCGATGCACAGCGGATCCAATGCACAATATAGATATAATATAAAGAGAATGACCCACAAAATGTGTCTTACAGCGCCTAAGTCACTAATACATATATTTCCGTTCCATGTTACATTCGTACATTACAAACCTAACAGCCAGTTTTTGCAAAAATATCTTTCATATATGTATATATAAATATTTTGTATTTTGTATACTCCTTTTGGATTTATTGTGGTTGTTTTTTTTTTTTTTTATCTTTTCTTTTGTTTCTTTTTTTTGCTTTTATAACTTCATTTAATTCATATTATGCGCGCGTGTGTGTGTGTATTATGGGTGTGTGTGTGTGTGTATGGATGTAAATAGACTTTCGGAGATCGCTGTATTTTGGGTATTTTCAGCATGGTTTTTCTCTCAATGCTGTGTGCATGTTTTTGTTTTGTTTTTAGTTTTTAGTTTTGCTGGCTAATTATCATTCATTCATTCATCGTAATCATCAAAGTTTTCAATATCTATGTCGTATTCATAATTCTCCAGATCTATATCGGGGTCGGAATCAGTGTCCGAGTATATATCGCCGGCATCTCTATTCCATCGATTTCTTCTCCTCGCATTCAAATGCATCTCCTCATCCGTATCATAACCTTCGTACTCGTCCCCGTCGCCATCATCGCTCGAGGACAGTAGATGATCCTCGCGCCAATGCCGGTTAACATACTGTTAATGTTCCATAAGGGCCGCTACACAACAGTAAACCGCACCAATAGCAACAGTCACAAAAATAAAAAAACAAAAAAAAAAAACAAAGAGATTTTTGTTATGCATAATTCAAGAGATCAAATGAGGTGAAAGTCTTACGTGACGGCGTGCGGCCGGTCTTATTCTCATTGGGTGTGAAGTTTAGAAAGTCCCAAATCAAAATTGTATCATCGTGTGAGCTGCTGACAATTTGGAACTCGTCGAATTGCAACCGAAAGACGCGACCAGTGTGTTCCTAGAATGTTTCAGGATCGACCATAGACCGGCAATGTTGAACATGAGCTTACGACCCCAACTTACCACAAGTGTGTTCAGACATAGAGTGTTGGAGGCAGCTCTTGGGTCCAGGGCAGCCACCAGATCCCAGACCTTAATCTTTCCATCGTACGCACCGCTGACAATGCGTTTCGTATCGAAACGAATGCAACGTACAAGCTCCTCGTGGCCCTCCAGGACCCGCAGGCAAGCGCCGCATTCAATGTCCCAGAGTCTGAGAGAGAGAAGCATCCAAAAAAAATGATGAATTATTGAAATACTGGGGTGAGAAAGTATTCCAGCGCGCTCACCTAATGGAATTATCTGAGCTGCCGCTTACAACCAAACGATCTCTATATTGCAGGCAGGCAATGCCACGCTTGTGGCCATTCAGAGTGCGCACAAATTCACAGCTGGATGTGGACCACACCTTGATGGTGCGATCCCCACTCGCGGACACAATGTACTTCTCATCGAAGTCCACCACATTGACGGCAGCACGATGGCCGACGAGCACGCGACGTAATGTTATCTCGCTGGGAGAGGTCATGTCCCACACGGCAATGGATCGATCCTTGGAGCAAGTCACCATCATGCCATTGTTGAAACGCAAGTGTAGCACCGCTTCGCAGTGATGAATGAGAGTGTTGACCATATCGCCAGTGTTGACATCCCATACGCGCACCGTGGAATCGCTGGAGCCACTGATGATCACCTTGTCGTCATACTGCAGGCATAGCACCGATCCAGTGTGTCCTGTGAGGGTCTAAACGAATGCAGCCAGTGATATTGGTTAGTGAGAAGAGTCGAGAGTAGAGAAAGGTGTAGCCGACTCACCTTGACGCACTGCAGATCCGTGCGATCCCAGATCTTGATGGTGTTATCCCTTAGGCCGGACACAATCTTTCCATCATCGTACTGCAGACAATAGACACCCTTGGAGTTCTCGGAACGACAATTGATCCGTCGCAGCATGTGACGGCCAGTTCTCCAGTTATTCTCAATGCTGTCAATGTCCTGTTGGCAACATACACAAAAAAGGATTCGATTAGCCTAAACAAGTCATATGTATACTGGCGGAGGGGTTGGGGCACAACTTACATTCATTATTTTGGGGAACAACTCGCGATGGAATGAGTGCGGCCTTTGGGTCTGGCCAGGTCTTGGCTTGAACAGATACTGCATCCAGTTGCGCCGCTCAGCCAGGCCACGCCACAACGAATCCGTTCGGACCTTTCGCTCGATGAGCTTCTTCCACAACATACCCTCGGATATAACGCGCAGCCATTCCTTGCACACCAGCTCGGCTGATTTCAGCGATTCGGCATCCACATACGATAAAATGTTTTCGGCAATGTGATCCAGACCCTTGACTGCAATGTGGGGATATACACACAGAATGATTAGCATTTTATTGTACGCCTCGCCGAGCCCTATTTAGTCGCCTAATTAAGTTACTTTTAGTGGCAACCAGAGCCAATCTGTGACAGATCTGATCTCTGATATGCTGCAGCTGTCGAGATGATGCAATGGGTGGTTATGGCATACCCACAGCAGAGCAGAGCAGTCTGCTGGCACCCACGCACACCCCCCACCCATTCATTGACATACAAGACACAAAATGATGCACCTAACGGCATTAAAATGCACTTAGTCTAGGAGTGGAGTGTATGGAGGAGGCGCAACCAATAGAGCGACATATTTACATGTGTCATGTGCACACACACGTTGCAAGGAGCGGCGGCGTCGGCGGCAGCGCCCTCTCTCCTCACTCTCCATGCCCACAAGTGAGGTTGATGGTGAGGGTGGTTGGGTTAGATGTCGCCAGACACATCTGCTGCATTGACAACCCAACCCAGGGGCGGGGGGCGGTGGGCGGTGGGCTGTGGGCCCACAGTCTGAAGTGCATATTCGCTCGCTGCATTTGCCAAACACAATTAAAAATGTGCATAACTCGTAGCGATGGGCGCTCTATGGGTGTCGTGTCGGCTTGGCTCTGTGGGGCTTTGCGACGATTTGGCTCAAGTTGTTTGGCTGTCGTTAGCGTCCCCGTCTAACGGTCTTAAGAGCGTCTCTTACTCTGTCTCTCTGTCGGTATGTCTGTCTCTCTGTCTGTCTGTCGGTCGCTCCCGATGTGTATGCCTGCCTGGTTAGCTGCCTTTGAAGTGCATTACAATGTAAATAGAGAAGAGAAGACAATGTTGCATATTTTCAACTCTTTCTTTTCTGCTTTTACGTTCATGCACAAGGAGGACACTTACTAGTGGGGGAGGGGGGATTTCTGAGGGCAGGAAACATTCAACGACTTCCTCAAAGAACTTTTGCCATGGCTGAGCCAGGCGGTGAAAGGGCTACCCCCTAGAGAGAAAGCAAAGATAACAGGCAGCACCTGGGCACCTAGGCTGCTAGAGGGATTTTCGCGAACGGCATTCCTGTAGGCGGCAAGCAGCCGAGCAGCATTTTTAATCGATAAAACGGATGCGTTGTTCATAGTACGAAACCGACAAAACGATGCAAGTCCTGCTGAGCGGTCACCTGACATGGCAGGATATATGTATTTATGTATGTGTATGTATACCCCCATTACCGGACGCAATTTTTGCTTTACATTTCCTCTATTTTTTGTTTTGTTTTCTGCTACGATTAAGCTACATTAACAGCTATTTGTTGATTTTATTAATCATCGATATATGCAGTATATATAAATATGTATGGCACATAACTCGAAATATACATATATGTATAGATATATTTTTTAAACCTGTTTACCAAATGCAACTGCAACTGCTCCCCCCAATACCATTATAATTGCAATTGGTTAAACATTATTATCAAGCCAATAAGAGAGCACAAAATCGATTCTCATTTTCTTATGAATAATATATAAGGTTTGTTCCCGGTTTCGTTTCGTTTTGTTTTTGTTCCGGTAAAGCGCGTTTAATGGAAGCAACGACCTTTCAGTCAACACAGCAACTTCACCCTGGACTCCCCTCCTCCCTCCACACTTTTTTCCAGCTCCAAAGGCATGCCCCGCCAACAAAAGCAGGCGGCAGCAACAATCGGGTTCAGTGAGAGGGAGAGAAAGCACAAGGGGGGAGGGAGCTCCCCCCCGGAGAGAGAAGTCGGAATGAATTTAGTCGAGTTCTGTTCGGGGTTTACCTTTCATGTTGTTCAACTTTGTTCCCATCATTTATACTCGCATGTACCCTAACAGAAGGGTATTACAATTGATTGCAGAAAACGGAAACTCTGTTTCCCTATGCCATGGCAACAATACATCAAACTGGACAAGTGTTTGTGTTTGAGTGGTAAAAGCATTAAAATAGTTCATTTAAATATTATAAATTTCAATCTATTCTTTGGGACATTTTCTGTTGCTTTTATCAACCCAATTTAGTCATATTGTGGCAACTGTAAGGGTATCCTACAGCTTCTATTACAACAGCCATCATTATGATTGCATGTCATGTGTTTAGGTTCGAGCTATTGGATGTACACGTAGTGCTAACACAGCTCTGGATCATTCATTTTAAAACGAGAAATTTCTTGAACATTAATTGGGTGCTGCAATCTGTGCTGTTGTTATCGGTGGCGCTTGGCTTATCATGGCATTTGGCTTAGCCACTTTTTTTTGTCATCTGAGTGAATGGAGGAGTATTGACCTCTCAAAATAAATTATAATTATAGTATATTAATAATTATTTATAGATTAACATGTATGATGAATAGTTGGTGTTCCCTCAACATCCAAAGCCCCATCGATTTCTTAATTACTCGGAACGATTAGAAGATTGTGTCTGCGCTTCCCCAGAAGTACTTTTCAATTAAATCAGTCCACAGGTGAAAGCAATTATCTTCACTCCCTGCTTCCCCTCCCTCCCTGTCTGGTTGAATGTTCTCCAGAGTTGAGATATTTCTGCTGCCCTACACTGCCCGCCCACTCGATGGGATGATGATACTCACTTGGTAACAATGTGATAAAGTCCCGCTGTAGCATTGGCTTCAGATACGCATTGATCTGTCCGTGTTGATAGTGGCACATGCGTGATAGCAGCTGCTCCACAAAGTCCACCTGCCCCGACTCGCTCCACTGTGTGAAATATTGAAAGCAGAGATCCCGCTCTGTCTGATATGTGGGCGATGAGTCTTTCTTGCGCACCGGGTCGTACAGCATGGTGGTGGTGAACTGTACACAGCGCACAAAACAGAGAGAGAGAGAGAAAAGAAGGAAATTAATTATGAAATTACATTTGTTTGTATGTATGATTTTTGGATGGTGATATGGATATGATACTGATATGATATACTCTTTCTTGCGGCCATGTCAAGGGGCGGACTCATAAAAACTGAAAAACTAGCTAGATGCTCCGCTCCCCGTTTATTGTATGTCTCGCCGGGGAGTTGTGCAACATTTCTGAGATTTTATTTTGTGTATTTTTTCTGTTTCTGTTTTTTGTTTGGAGGCAAGCAGCAACTCGGACGACCCAAAGTTGGGGCTTACAATTAGGCAATTAGTTGGTGGAGCTTGGAGTTTCTTTCTTTTTCGTAATCTCTTACTCTTTGCTTTTTGTTTTTATTTGGGGGCTACGAAAGAGTTTGCAAAACGAAAATGGCAAAAATTCAAGCCAGACAGGCAGCAGCAAATCATTCACATATGATATTTATGCAAAAAATGAAAGTATCTTTTCTAAATATAGTCGAATTAGTCGAAACGAAAATCATTTATCAGGCATAGATTTCATTCAATTATTTGTGGGCGAAAAATTGATGTTAAAGATCTTCCCAGCCCCCACAAACAAATTGGCTAAACAAATCGGACAAAACTTGTGCGTGTGTGGTGTGTGTGGTGTGTGAGTGATTTAGATAATTAAGTTAACTGCAATGTCAGCAATTATAAAACCTTGCCTATGCTATATACGATAGTATACGTTGTACATACTTGTATGTATTCGCTTTGCCTTAATTTAATTGCAATATTATAGCTTGTGTTTGCTTTAGTTGTTTGCCTTATGCTTGAAAGTTTTTAGCTTAAATTTTAGTTTGAGGTTTTATGGAGTCTACTGCTGCTGCTGCTGCTACCTTGATAAAGTGGGTTAAAGGCAAGGATGCTCGAAATAGGTAAGCCTGGCTTGGTGTCTGTGGCCAAAACGAAGCATCATTAAATTAATTAGCTTTGCAAAGATTCCACCTTGATTTCAACTTAAAGCCCAGATGACTCAGGCAACAACTTTTATTGCAAATGGAAACCACACTTTTTGACACAGGTAAATGTACAACATAATAAATAACATAATGTCTGTGTGTTGTGCGTGAGGCTGACCTTCAGTACAAAGCCTACCCTACCCCCTACACCATTTACTCAAGATCTATGTTGATCCCATGAATGAACGGGTATGTGCTGAGTATTGTTTAATATTAATTGTGTAAACAAACTTGAACGCAACAAGGCCAATAATAAACTAAATCTGAAATCTGGTTAGGCCTCTGTTATTTTTTATTTTTGCGGTGCGAGATCGGGAATCGGACAAGAACGAAATGAAAGAGAGATGGTAATGCTGCTGGCTGCTTTCGCGGATGATGATGATGATGATGGTGGTGACGCCGAATAATTGGGCGAGCGAACTCTCGTATGAGGCTGAAAAGTTTAAGGTTAGCACATTTAAAAGAAAAGCAAAATAAATAAAAAAGCGACAATGTCTGAATTTAATAGAGTGCACGAGTGCAAAATCTGTAGTATATACGAAAATAAAGCACAAACGCACACTCTGGCATTTAGAGAGCATATACATACATATGCACACATATATATATATGTATGTCGCTGTGTGTATGTGGAGGCGACACCTTGAGTGTTGAGCATTATGTACATAAATGTGTGTTGGATTGGAGAGAGAGCATTGCATATATGGGAAATCGTTGCCTATATCGATGGCGCTTACTCAATCCATCTACATTTGGGTCTACTTACAGCTTGGGCATTGGAGTTGGTCTCATCCATTATTTTGTCCGTGTCCATTTTCATCATTGTTGTTGTGTTTGTTGTACTTATAAGTTACTGGCTGTTTGGGTTTGGTTTTCTTTTGCACACACTCACTCCCGCGATTATGCACACGTAAGTGTTTGCTATTGCTTTTACTTTACGTTTAACGCGACAGCACAACAAATAGTTACATTTAATTTGGGTTTTTAATTGCTTTTTTTTAGGATTTCTTCACAGAAAAATTACAATTCGCTCGTCTCGCTGTGAGTATGACCACAAGTTGGAAGCGCGTAAATGACAAATTCACATCACTAAGATGATTCTCGCTGCAAGTCATTCATTATAGTTTGGCCTTATTGCTGGGCACCCCGCCATTTAATGGTTGGCCTTTGCATTCAACGAAAGTGAAGCCACTGTAAGCCGTGCTTTGACCAGCAAGGCTTGATTTAACTTAATTAATTTAACACCTAATTTAAAATAGTTTCCTTTACAAATTGACAGAGAGTAGATTTGACCAGTGTGCCCGCAAATTTATCGATAAAATATACCACTGACCCTCAGAAATATACCGTAAATATACCTTGAACACAATTTCGACGTCAAAATATTCCGAAATGTATATTTCTACTGCCGCCGATGACAGTGCACTATCGATAGCTGTGTTGTTTGTTTTTTGTGAATACAAAAACAGTACTGCAAAGCGCCAGCATATAACCCTCCGAGAGGCACCACTAGACACCAGCTGATTTCGTGTAGTTGTTGATCGCGTTTGTTGTCGTTACTTAATTGATAAACTTTTTGGGTTGGGGGGCGACTCTCCAGATAACCTTCACTCTCTAAATTAATAAACATTGACGCAAGTAAGTGCCGGTCCAGCTGTATGGGCTGCTCATTTCACTCACATTCAATCGACCGCAGCTGTCACAGTCCCCTGATATTCCGCTCAAATTTTAACTAAAATTAAATCTTATTCAAGTGGTTCGTTTATCGGCTCGTTTTCTAATGGCTGTCCGTAATCAAGACACGGCCAACTTTATCCGCGATGGCAAGAAGATCGTGGGAGTGGCCCTCAACTACATGTAAATCCATACACTGCCGTTGCTCTAAAATTAGGTAATCTTCAACTTGTAACGTCCACGCAGGGACGTTGTGAAAGCCAGAAATGTGCCTGTGCCAAAGGAGCCGCTGGTTTTCCTCAAGCCCACATCATCTTATCTACGCGAGGGTCATCCGATAATCGTAGGTTATCACCAAGTCAAATAAACGGCCTTCAACTAATTTTTGGCATGTCTCTTAGCTACCAAAAGTGTTCTCCAAAGTGGCCTATGAGGTTGAGCTGGGCGTGGTGATTGGAACACGGTGCAAGAATGTCTCCAAGCAGGATGCCATGAAGTATGTTTCGGGCTATTGCCTGGCTCTGGATCTAACCGCCCAGTGCAATCTGGTAAGGATTTAATATTCTACTTTCCCCAACATCGAGTAATACTGCTTTCGCTGCAGACTGCCGCTCGCGCTGCTGGCCATCCGTGGACCTTGGGCAAAGGATTCGATACCTCAACACCCGTTTCGAAGTTCATACCTTTCGATGACGTGGACGATCCACACGCGCTGCCACTGTGGCTCAAGGTTAATGGCGAAGTGAAGCAAAAGGGTTGCACCGCGGATTTGATCTTTAAAGTGCCCGACATCATTGCGTACGTGTCCAAGTATATGACCCTGGAGCCCAACGATCTGATACTGACGGGCACGCCCAATGGCTCGGACGCATTCAAGGCTGGCGATGAGATTGAATGCGGCATGGCTGAGTTTGCCACGCTCAAGTTCCAAGTGTGTGGCGAATAAACGGCAAAGCAAACGGACTGACAACATGGACACATATTTTTGTATGCTCTGTAAATGCTTTATAGTATGATTTGGTTATGCATAATTTATTCTTCAATATTACTTCCTGCCACTCTTGACATCATCGCAGGCAATCAAATATTTGCGCATCGCTGCACACTCGTCTGTGTTCTTCCATTTTGTGGCGGGACAATTCTCGTATACCTGTTCCAAAATGCACGCCAGCAAGGTGGCAGGATAATAGTCGCATTCCCCCTTCGTGTGCATCCATTGGTATTGCTGGGTACGCTTTAGCGCTGTTTCAAATATGGATTAAAAAATGCCATAAGATTGTGCTCCACACTCACCATAGTCCACGCAGCTATTCAGGCTGCTCACCATCAGCTGGGACATGGTCGCATCGTTCTTGTAGCGCTGCTGGTAGCTTTGCTGCAAGGCTGCCACGTTCACGGATCCATTGGTTAGCAAATATCCATTCGCCTTGAAGGCACACTCGGCTATGCACTGAAAATGATGATTTTCTTTAAAGTTTTGGCCACCATTCGTGTCGTGTACCCACCGCATGCAGGGCCACTTTATCCGATTTGAGATTTCGCGACTCGCCATTGTTTGTGGTTGTAGTAGAGTTTTTGGTCAGCAAGGATTTGCGACAGGTCTGGATGGCTTTATCGTTTCGCTGGACATTGCAGCAGGAGCTCATCTAAAGGATAATAAATAAATAATTAAAGAAAACCGTAAGCTGTTTAAGTCTCACAAATTTGGGTTGCTTCGCCTGGTCACAGCTCGTATAATTGAATGAGTTTGCAGCGGTGCACAAAGCAGGCAAAATTAATAGAAGCACATATCCCCCGTACATTGTTGTCACTCACTCAAAAATTGTCAATCAAGTGTTCATTTTGGCAGACTTTATATTGGGCTATATCCAAACTGCTGCAATTTAATGTTAAAGTTAATGTTGCATAAAAAGTAATAACCGTTGTGCCAGTTAAGAGAATTTTAAATTTTCCATTCAAAATAAATTAGAGAGCTGCATGACACCGATAACACCCGATAACATTATCGGAAATTGGTGTCACGCAAAAAACTCGTAAATATTGGAATTACTCGAATTATTTGGAATTAAAGAGGACATGGAGCCGAGTTTGTACAAGGGAAATGCAATTTTCCAGAACCAACCCAACTATAAGGTATTTAACAAATCATTTGAGCATGCGGACGATTCCTTCTACACATATTTGAATGAAGTGGACGCGGAGGTGCTCAGGCAAGAGCTGGAAGAGCCCTCGAAAGTATTTACATCGTACAGCAACAACTCGACGCCACAGGACCCGCGTACACAACAGACTGCAAATGCATACATATGGGACCACTCAAGTCCACTGCTGCCCTACAAGTTTCCCAATCACAGGGAGAAGTATTCTGCCCTGAATCGCAAACAACAGACGGCCTGTGTAAGGGTGCTGCTGGCCTGGCAACGCAACGAACTTGTGCCGGAGGAAGATTTTGTGATATGGCGTGTCACCGAGAAGAAACGATGCACGGAATACCAAATGTTCCAGAAAGATGTCCACGATTATGAAACCAGTCAGAGGGAGCTGCTCTACGCCCCAATGAAGACGATTGTGCAGGCCTATAACGTGTGGCATGAGCTGCGTGTGAAACAGCTGCTAAAAGGCGTTCCCAATGACACTTATGTGACGTACTCGGGTCTGCCACAGCTGGCCCAATGCAAGAGCCTCAATCCTCAAACCGCCAGTGTGGAGCAGGTGCAGCTGCAGCGGATTGTGGGCCAGGTACGGCTGTGCCCGGAGGTGAAGCTAAAGCGAGGCGAACTGATGACACTGAATGTGCGTTTGAGTCGCTATGCGGGCATAGAAACCGTTTACCCAACCATGCCAATGCCGGAAGAGTCGGATGAAGGCAACATCTTCGTTTTGCCCTTGGAATCGCTCCTGATGCTTTTGACTACCGGTGCATATGTTGATTTGCCCACGGAAATGATGCTCACCATCAAGGAACCAAATGGGAGTGATTGCAGATGTATCGAATTTCACGAGCCCTTTCCAGCGCGCAACTGCGGCTGGCACACTAGTGGTTTGCTTTTGACGCAAGCCTATCAGGTCTACAAGGCGCAGCCAGGAGAAGACAAGTGGCTAACGTTTGACCAGAATGGCACATTGAAAGACGAACCAGATAAAAAATCAGGTGCTAAATTAGCCGTCGATCTGCAAATGTACTACAATCTTCGACCAGTGGACATGGAATCAGCTGCCATAGAGCCGGCCAACTCGAACACTGCCATGATTAGCTGGTGTCTAAGATGCCAGGCGGATGATAATGCCGAGTCACTTGAAGACTTTCAAATATATAGCAGCGTATCGGTGTCTGCTGTGAGCGATATGCAGGGAAAGCAGCCCCTCGGCTGTCACTTCATCAAGCTGGAGAACAAACCCGACTGCGGTTGCGAGATTATGTCCAAATATGAATTGCTCAAAGCTTGGCTGCAGTTGAAGCTCCTCAAAGCGGAGCTGGGGCACTGCAGTCGCGTGTCGCTGCGTGACTTTGAACCAATGCTCGAGGAGAAGCTGACACTGGCTTCGCTGGAAAAGACGCTACACGACTACTACAATACGAGCATGCCGCAGTTGCTCTCACATCTTTGTGAGTTTCTTAAACTTTTTAATGCTGTCCCGCCTGGCAAGTATTTGCTCCGAAATTCAGCCAAGCACAAGGACAAGTTTTTACTGTGTAAACCCATCAAGGAGGCCACACCACAGAGTTTCAGGCTGCACGAACTGCTAACGGGCAGCGCGCCCAGTGATGAATGCTTTCTCAGTCAAAACAGTTACTTGCCCATCTCGAACACACTCTGCGGACGGCTGCATCAAGAGCAGCAGTTGCTGCCCTGCGCATTTCCAACGAATATCACAGGCCTACCAGTGAAATGCCGCCGCAATAAGGTGCCCGCGATTGAGCCACGACGACAGCCATTAAACTGGAGAGTCACTGCCTATAGAGAGGCGAGGCAAAAGAACGCGAAAAAAGCGCAGAAGATACGGGCCAGGGCTCGAAAGAAGGTGGCTGCCAAAAATGAGGAAAAGGTTGACAAAGAGATGGACAAGTTTATGAGTCTGTGAGCCCACAAAGGCGCCACTTATTGCACTGTATATGTACAAAAATGTTAATTAAACTTAAATATAAACCTATTTCCTTGTGTTGTGATTATGGGTGATCTAATGCTCCGCTTTGGCCTCCGTCTCTATAATTAGTTCGTCTTCATTCACTTTCAGGGGAGCGCAACGTGTCCAAAATGTTTCATAATCGCTTTCCGGCAGACTGTCCCAGGGAAATGTGTGCAATGACAAGTCATTGAAGACATTGTGATGCTCGTAGTCATCCTCCAGAGGGGTCTCTGTGCAGTGTTCGAGTATTTGGTTGATGTGATCCTTGGGGGTCTTTCTCGTCATGGTCAGCATCTCAAAACTATTCGAAATCAGTAGCACGTTTGGCAGAGAATCCCTTGTCCAGTTGCGCCACAGGATGTTGTGCATCAGGGGGTAGGGGCAGTGGGGCAGATAGTAGAGTGTGGGAACGGTCGCCTCGTGCTTGCCTGCACAGTCTTCGGCTATAACACTGCCATCGAACAGACGCAGCAGCTCCTTCTCGCTCTCCCTGAACACAGGATCGAAATAAATAGCTTCCTTGATCTGGTAGTGTCGCTGCATACAAACAACGAATGCAGCCTGATGCAGTGCGATGTGGGTGCGGGAAAACGGCCCCAGACCCAGGCAGACGATGCGCTCCAGTGGTCGATTTATGATATCCACCTGTTGCTGCAGCGTCTCCATAGCCAGTATAAAGTAATCGCTTTGTGACATTTTCGTGCACAGACGCTCCAGACGACTAGAATTGGATAGTTTTGTGTTTAGATTTGGATAATATTGTGCAGTCACACTTACTCCTTGAATTTGTCGACATTCACATCGGGGCAGTCGTTCAAATAGTCGGTCTCGGACTTGTGGCGATCCCGCCGCCCCAAACACTTGCGGGCTATCCATTTCTTCCTGGTAACCACTTGGAAATCCTCGCCAGGTCCAGACATCGCAAAAGGTAAATAAATAATTTTATTTCTGCTAGAGCTGAGAAACCAACGATAGTAGTATCGATAGGACCGTGGCGTTGTATCGATATTGGAAATATGCTGCAACAGCTGGTTGCTCTTTCCATCTCTTTCTATCACAAGAACTACTTCAAATTTAGAAATGAACGACCCAAACAAAGCTATTTCGGTAAATTTATCATCTTTGCTGAGCTTAAAGGCCGAATTACTGCGCAAGCAGCATGAAGTGAAGTTGGCCAAGGCCGCGCAAGTGTCGGCCGGTGAGCACAAGCCCCAAAAAGTCGTCAGCGAGAAGGAGAAGCAGCCCAAGTCCCACAGCTACAAGGAAGTAAGCCGCAATGAGGACGCCAAGGTCTATGAGACCGAGGATCATGCGCAGCTGGAGAAGTCGCGACGCGTTCTGGAGGCCAAGAGCAAGTACTACGATCGCATGAGTCGCAGCGGGGGCAACCTCAACTCTGACGACAATTGCCTGGTGATGTTCAATCGAAAGCGACAGGAGGAAGACCTAGACGACGACGACGAGCCACAGACTTGTTCTCCTCCCGGGCGCGTCAGCAGCAGTTCAAGCAGCTCCAGCGAAGATGAGGGCAATGACGATGACGAAGTGGAGTACGTTGATTGCTTGGGCCGCACAAGGAAATGTCTCAGAAAGGTATTGGCAGAGGAGAAGAAACGCGACAAGAAACTGGCCCAAAGTATGCCGGAGCGCATTGATACCACCAAGGCCAACTGGATGATAGACACCAAGGGCGATCAGGAGGAGCGGGAGGAGGAGGATCTCATCGTGAAACCGCGTCCCCCAGGCAGCATTTTCAGCGATGACCAGTCCACAGCGACCCACCACGCCGAGCAGCTTCTGAATTGGGAGCGCAAAGAGCAGGAGAATGCCGAAAAGCCAGACGTGCACTATCAAGATGTCTTCTTTGACGAGGCCCGCACCCATGGTGTCGGCTACTATGCCTTCTCCACAGACGAGGAGGAGCGCGCCAAGCAGCAAAAAGAGCTGGAGGAGGCCCGCAAGGCCACAACAGAGGAGCAGGTTCGTCGCGACGAGTTGAGAGCCAAGCGCGACAGCATGGTGGCTGGTCGAGTGCTGGCCGCCAAGAACCGTATACGGGCACGCAGTGGTCTGCCGCCCATCAGCAAGGAGGATTACGAACGGGAGCTGCAGCAGAAGAAGGACGAATCAGCGGCCGAGGCTGTGGAACGGGAACGCAAAGAGCGTGAAAAGAAAGAGGCGATTGAGAAGGAGAAAGAAGCCGAAGAGGCGGAACGCGCAGAGCTGCGCAAGGAGCATGTTCGTGATTGGGATAAGGAGAAGCTGGCGGAGGAGTCCGAGGAAGAGTGGGAATACAAAGCCGAACGTCTGCCCATGTCGCAGGAGGAGTGGAACGAGAAACAGCGTACCGAGCGGAAAGAGGAATTTGCTCCCCTGCCAGAGCCGCTGAAACGCAGCAACTTCAGCAGCATTCCAGAGCCTCCGCCACTGTGGGACATTCAAGAACAGGAATTCAGTAATTTCCATTCCAGCAAGCAGCAGCAGCAGCAGCAGCAACAGCATCAGCAGTTCCAGCGACGCAATTACACTACACCCAACGATGACATTGACGATGATACACCTTCGACCTCTGCAGGCAGTCGGGGTGCTGCTATTCCGCCACCTCCAGGCCTAAATGACATGGGACCTCCTGCCGCGAAGATATCCAGATCTCAGAACGAGTTGGAACGCTCCATCGAGGCTGGCCTAAAGTTTCTGCGCAATTGCTGTGACAAGGAGGCGATGACCAACAAGGCCACCTGGACAGCCAAGGCGGATTATTAATCTAAGGCATTACTTTTGTTTTGTTTATAATTTATTGCTTTGTGTAAAGAATACTTTAAAAAAAACACACAATACACAATATGCGAACTGGACAAGTTGACTATTGTCTGGGTTCTTTGAGCTAAGATCCAACAAATATATATGTTAACTATATAGCTACAATAAGAGCATAAACGTACAGTTCCACAATGCCAGTCCAGAAATATCCATCGGCAACTTTGGCATAAAATAAAATATAAATTCCAAAAGCGTTTATAAAGTCTACCTAATTTGGCTTTGGATCGTTGGGGGCTTACTCAAACCTCACATCCAATACAATAAAGAAAGAAAAAGTCTCCGAAACTAAAACAAAATTCAATTAAAAGTTATCCCCGATGGCATTATCGTATTGCTTCACCCACAGTTCACGCTTTTCGAGATAACATTCCATTGTTGGCTGCTGGAGCAACGCAAACGCTACCGACATGTAGGGTAGCCGGACGTTATCGTACCCTCTAATCTCATATAAAGTATTGCTAGGCCTAATGGCTACGTTTTGAAAATATTCACTAGTTTTGCATATACCTATGTACCTATGGGTTAACTGAGTTATCGTTAATTTGGTGTGTGTGTTCAAGAGAGCTGTGGATGCCAGCCCTAAAGCATATCCCCATCGACCATATCGATGACTATTTCGGACATTTTCTGGCGACACAGATCGTTGGGTGGAAAGTTAAGCATTGGCGCACCCTCATCCTCCTCCTCGGGCTCGTCGTTCCGATTTAAATACATGTCCGGTGCATCTTCGGAAGAGCATGTACTTATGGGTATAATGTCCATGGCCAGGCCCAGGGCAAAGCGTCCATAGGCTTTCAGTTCCTCGGCGAAGCTTGAATCAAGATAGGGATAAATAAACTAGTTGTATTTTTGAGGATTTTCTTTAGCTTACAGATCCTGCAGCTTTTCCAGGGTATTGCAGTGTTCTGGCAGAGCAGTGCACAGGATTTCCAGCCACCTGAACAACTCATCCGTGTAGGTTTTCAGCAACGTCTTCAGCTCCGCATCCCGCATCTCCTTTGTGGTGCAGCAGTACAACAGATTGGCAATGTCCAAGGCAATAGAGCTATAACGTATTAGCTGAAAATCTATCAGGGCCACCTCCAGTACGCGCTGTGGAAACTCCGGATCGTAGTGATACAGAAAATTGTTGACCCAACAGTCGCCATGGCAAATGGCCGACAACGGAGACTCTGAACTGGCCAATTTGACCATCTGGCCAAAGAAGGAGGAGCCCTCAGCGAAATTGCGCATGGCCAGGACGTACTTGGAGTCGGCGGGCAGCACTTCGGAAACCATTTTGACGGCATTCTTTGTGAGACGCTCGTAGTAGTTTCTATACCAACTCGTGTTGGCTGTGCAGAAGATGCCCTCGCTGATGAGGCTGCACAGCTTGGCAAAGTCCAGCGGATGCTCAAACTTGTACGCCAAACTGAGGGAATGTAATTGGGCCACCTGCAAGAGCACAGACTGCGCCTCCTCCATGCTGAGTCCTTTGTGGCGATCGGACATCTGAAATCCACGTTCGCGCAGATCCTCTGCATGAAATGGAAGATGCTTAGCATAATGTGGGCAAGAAATGTGGTCTCATAGTTACCCATTATGAGCAGATCATGTCGGGCTGTGTAGCACTTGGGTATGGCATTAAAAACCGGCGACTCGCGGCCTGTTTTGCTCGCCTGAAACTTCAGTAACTCTGGCATTATTGTGGTATAGAACTCCACTTCGTTGCTGTTGATGGGACGCAACATTAAATAATTGCAATATCTGTTTGGATATCTCTGTCTCTTACCGAAACAATTTGTCGCTTTTGTAGGCCTCACGCTGGGCCACGCTCTCCGGCATAACCTTGCATATGACGTTCTGCGTCCATTTGTGTTGGCTGCCATCGAGACTCTGCCGCTTGCCACTCAGATTTATTCGATACAGGGCAGCCGTATAATTGTCGCCGCGGTCCGAACCCTGAGCCAGCTGCAAATGCCACGTGTCCTCTATGTCAGCCAAAATATATTCAAAATCTCTCTTTCATGCATCCACTTTACCTCAAGGGCATCGATTTCCACATCCGGCTCCACGTGCTTGAACAATTCCTGAAACACGTCCAGCGATAGGATCTGTTTGCTTTCGTCGTCGGTTGCACCATTTGCCGCTCCCATTCCGGTTGTTGTTGTAGCTGGCTCTGTAATACCCATTTCTATCCGTTTTGCCACCAAAAGTTTATCTGCTCCGGAAAGGTCCTGGCCTGGCAGCTCCTCCAATGTTGTAAATCGATTCGAACAATTTCGAGTTAACTTTGTGTTATGCACGCTACACTTTTCAGATTTTCTGTTTTCGGTTTTCGCTTTTAAGTTTTATCCATCGATTTTGCGCGAACATGTGTTTCCTTCCCATGCCCCTTCCCCTACACAATCCATTTCGTCCTTTTTGCGCTTTCATCCGTGCTTTTATCGGACTTATCGATCAAATATACCGAAAAATACTCTCTCATGTTCAAAAAATATCGTATATATACCGCGAAAGTTGCAAGGGCGCTGCCAGCCTGAACTTTTATCTCCCCACTGAACTGCGCGCCAAATTTAAATTTCTATAAGTGGCCCACACACTTTGGCATTTAAAAACATTAGATATAGATTTTTGGTGATTATCATATGATTATTTTAGATCATTTACTTGTATAATTGAGCTTTGGCTTACAAAGTAGTCTAGAAAAAATGAACATTTGATGCTATTAGTTATAGATATATGTATATATGTATGTATGTAGATAGAGAAATGCCTGCTGCAGCGATGTTAACATTCGAATTATCGCTTATTATCCATTGCCCGGGGGCTTGGGGGCGTTTCGAACGCCAATCACGTTACATTAGTTATCAACATCACGGGGTGTGGGTTCAGTGCGGCTGCTGGCGATCTGTGACCAAGCCCATATCCTCCTGCATCTTCAGGGTCAACGGCAGCGGCCGCTGTGGCCAGGTGCGCCGTTGCAGGAGTGTCGCACCGCTGGCCAATTGCCGTTGCAGCGCCTCGATGGTCGGATAGATGTGCTGCTCCACAAATTCAGCCACCGTATACTCATCGTACACCTCCCAGAGCAGCTGCTGGGCCTCGCGGGCCATGGCGCGCAGCTCCTCCATCAGCATGGGCGTGCGTGCCGTCAGCTCGTGAACTCTCAGCGGTGAGCTGAAGTTGTGCCGCACATTGTAGTCGGAGAGCCAGGCGCTCTGCTCGCGCGTCTGCTGCAGATAGGCCCCCACCTCGGCCAGTTTGTCGTACAGCCGCAGGGCATACTTGTGGATCATGTGGCCGGGATAGTTGCACACAGCAAACAGTTGGCTGTGATGCGCATTCGTGTGCAGCTCCAGCCAGGGACGACCCGAGCGTCGGCTGTCCGGCTGAAAGACGCACTGCAGCACACGCAGCAGATCGTTGTCCCTGGGATTGGTGCTGAAATAGCCCTTGGAGACGGTCGACAGCGATGTCATCAGGCTGGGTATGCCAACCGGCAGCAGTTCGCACAGAATGGCAAAGTGATCGTAACGCTGCCAGCCGGTTAGGGCCACGCCACGCAGTCCCTTGGCGAAGCGTCCGCCCTCCTTGGCAATGACCGCCAGCCAGCGTATGTTGTTCTCCAGATGATGCTGCAGCGGCGGCACCAGCAGGCTCTCCCCGAAGGCACCCTTGTAGGCTGAGGCCACCCAGGCACTGGAAAAGACCTTCGCATAGGTGTCCCACAGCTGGGGCTGGATGAAGCGATAGATATCGCTGGCATACACCCACACCATGGGCTCCACATAGCTGCCGATCTGCGACTGCTGCAGCTCGCTGACGGACATCGAACGCAGCTGATCGTCCCAGATGACCACGCCCAGATGCGGCCAGTGGCGACGCACAAAGTGCGACAGACTGATCACGTGCGAGAGGAAGAGCTCGCTGCGCAGTCTCTGGCGGCACGTCTGGCACTCGCCCATGCGCTGCACCTCGTCGCAGCCGATGTGGATGTGCGTGAACTTGATGGGCAGTGCGGGTGCCGAGGGTGTCGCCTTGCCAATGCACTGTAAATGCAGCTCGATCACCTGGGTGAGCATCTGCTCCAGCAGGGCCATGCTCTGCGGCTGACTGGGGCAAATCGATTGGGGACTCTCCGGCAGCTCCCTCAGCTGCTCGAATCCCTCCAGCTTGAGCACATACTCCATGTGACCGAAGGTCTGCAGCAGCGGCATCACACTCAAGCCATGCAGGGCAGCGCACTCCAGAAAGTCCTGCTCGAAAAACGAAATAGGAATAACTAAAATGAATCACTGGAACACGCCCCCAAAAGTTACCCGCAATTCATCTGCCTTGTAGGCATTGTGTGCGGCCAGCGGCTGCAGAGCGCCCGTAAAGGGAAACATATCCTCGTATTCGATGAGTAGACCCGTGGCACCCAGCGCCCGCAGCATGGGCAGCAGTTGCTTGAGGAAACTCAGCTTGGGCGGGGCACCCTTCAGATCCAGGTGCACGAGACGCTCGTTGGGGGCACGTGGCCCGTCCGGGCCAATGCCAGCCACCACGGGCACACCCATGCGCTGCAGATCGTGCTCATACTGGGTCTGTCGCTCCGCCGAGCTGAGCATGCGCTCGTCCTCTGCATTGGCGTTCAGCTCCTCCATACCGGCGTTGCGTTGACGCTGCTGCTGTTCGAGTATCTTCAGGCGTTCCTGCTCGAACAGGTAGCTCTCGGCCAGCGGTAGCGGTGCCTTCTTGGCCTGGGTGGGACGCAGGAAGCGCACGTTGCCCAAACGCTGTACTGTGGGCGCCTTCTCTCCGGCAGCGTTGTCCTTGAGGCGATCGGCTCGCAGCACGCGATTGGCCTGGGCAATTAGCTTCTGGATGATGTGCACCTGCTGGTATCCCGTGGCCTGCTGCTGCTGCTGCTGCTGTCGCTCTCTGGCCTCAGCGTTCGCCGAGGGAACTGACAGCGCTGGCGTGTTGGTCGTATCGATGAGTATGGCCCATGTCCAGAGACCCAGCAGCACAAGGCCAGACACCAATAGCAGAAAGGAGAGTTTGCGACGCCAAATGAATATCCACAGATTCGAGTGCATCTGCAGGGAGAGGATAAAGGGAGCACAAGAGAGTGAGATTTGTGGGTTAAGTAAAGTGGCGCCCAGCAGCTGCCGAGTGGAAAAGCAAAAGAAAAACTTTCTTCTCTTGCTTTTCATAAATATTTGAGGATCCAACAAGTAGCCCGCCCGCCCGGAGTTAAGCTACCCACAATTCGAGAAGCCATCCGCATGTTACACATACGCCACCGTAGCCGCCACCGTAGCCATACGTTGCATGCCGCACAGCACTCATTGAGGTTAAGTTGAGAGCTGTTGGCGCTGTTGTTGCCTTTGTGGATGCCTCTCATCCTCCTTTAGCGCCGGTTGGGTCCTAGGGCTATGCACTATGGGCCCCAGCAGGGCAACTTGTATACTGTCTGTCTGCAGGGACCACAAAGCATAAATGGAGCAAAACTTATTTGTTTTCGTTTTTCTATTAACTCAGCTCTTGATAGCTTTTGCTGTGCTACTGTTCTACAGCTAAGCCACACTGGGAGGATTCTACAGCTAAGCCGCACTGGGCGGATTCTACAGCTAAGCCACACTGGGCGGATTCTACAGCTAAGCCACACTGGGAGGATTCTACAGCTAAGCCACACTGGGCGGATTCTACAGCTAAGCAACACTGGGCGGATTCTACAGCTAAGCCACACTGGGCGGATTCTACAGCTAAGCCACACTGGGAGGATTCTACAGCTAAGCCACACTGGGAGGATTCTACAGCTAAGCCACACTGGGAGGAAGAGAAAAGGGAGCAACAGACCACGGCAGGAAAGAGTCAGGCAACAGCTGGGAAAATTTTTTTTAAATGCTGGCTTTAGTAACAGATACTCGCATGAAAAGATAAGATAACTCTGGTAGATAAATTCACTCTCTATAATTCTGTTTTTAGCTTACAAAACTCCCCCCAAAACTCCAATAGTTTGTGGCATATTCCCAGATCTACAAGTATTAGCTGCCATTTCCTGCCTTTCCTTTTATTGCTTCAATTAATTTCCGTTTATCTACTCTTCGGACCCACTATGACGCCACAGCCCACCCTGTTGCACCCTGTGTGTGAATGCTTCAGTATGCTGCACATAATGGCAAGTAGTTGGCTGGCATTCGGGCTTAAATAGGCACAACTGGCTGCTTATTTAAATGAGTTTCTGGCCGAGTCATAAAAGCAGCAAAACACACACACACAAGCACATGCATACGAGTATATATGTATAGATATATATACGACCCACAATACAGCATCCAGCGAAGCAAGTAGCTGCCTTTGGGGCATGGGTGGGATGGCTGAAAACTTGCAGCTTCAACAGGCGATAAATGCAAGTGTTCAAGTGCAAATATGCAAGCTGTCTGTCTAGCGGAAATTGAATTGCCTTGCGTTGCCAGTGGGTGGGAGAGATCTCTATCTTCCCTTCCCTTCCCCAGCCCACCTATTCGGTTCGGTTTGGTTCGTGACTGACTGCCACACAAAGACAAACACACACAAAAGTTTGAAAAGTCCTTGTGGACACTTGCCAGACGGCTTTGGCTTGTGGGTGTAGTTGTGGCTGAGTGGATGAGCTGAGCCATCCAGTGGATCATCAGAGGTAACCACGCGTCTGCTCGTTCAGTCAATTGTCACAAATTGTCGAGTGGACGACAAGGATGGGGCGCCAAAGGTGATTCACCATAACGAGGGATGGGCGTTCCGCGGCATGGGAAAACTTCATTGCATTAGCAGCTGCTGCAAAAGCGCAAACGAGGAAAAGAAACCAAACCAAAAATGCTACAATTTTGCTGCAGAAATGTTCCCTTTTTTTTGGTGCTGTTGCCATGGCCCGATCGCCCTTCTTGCCCCAACTCAAACCCCCAATTGAATTACAATTGTTGGCGCCTGTCTGTAAACGTCCATTGCGCTGGTAACAATACAATTAAGTATTCCCATTCGCAGCTATAAGCTTCATCCATTCAGCACAGTTTCAGCATCCTTCAGCCATCATCCATTTTGCATTTGGCAAATAACCAATCGAAATCCGATTGCCGACCCATTTGGCTTAATCCACATTTGCATTATTCCTCTGTCCCCCGTGTACCCAACTCAAGCTCCCAGCCACCAGCCACCAGCCACCAGCCACCAAGCCACCTACTCGAATGCTGACTTTCCAGCATTTTTTTGTTGCCAAAATAGTCCACTCAAAGCGTTGCCCCCCTCCCACAGGCAGCTGAGTGCTGGAAGCCCCAAAACAAATATTGTATGCATGTACAGTGTTACATATAAGTATATGTACTCGTATGAGTTTCTCTTTTCTGTGCTTATTTTAATGCCCTGGCAAAGAGAAGTGTAACTTTTCGATTATCTGTAGGTGCCACGCGTCATGCAGCAGTACCCCTCGGCAGGTAGCTTGCGACTTGATTAGCTGCCAATAAGTGCTGCAGTTCTTGTGAATGTAAAAACCAAGCTCAGTGGAAAATTATACAACTAAAAAACATTTAATGGAAGAAGTTCGAGTAAAGCTGCTAAAGGAAAACTAAAATTATTTTTGGTTATATCTTCAAACCAATTTTAAAGCTTTTCAAGTTGAAAACAAGTTAAGCAAAAATAAAACTAGAACTGAAATAATTTGCGGATTTGTAGCTTAAAGAGTATGCAAATTTCGGCTACTCGAACCCGTCTTTTGTGCACTTGTCTCTTTTTTTTGTGTTTTGTGGTGCATCAGAAAGCCACAAACAATTTTGAAAGGGCGCTCTCGTTTTCGGGCCCGCTTTGTTGGCTAAGGTTCTCTTTCCGCTCGAGAGTGGGGGCCACAAAATAGAGAAACCAACTAAGCAAACGAAACGCACAGACAGACACCCACTGCAGCAGACACACACACACACACACACAGGACGAAGGACAAAGGAGTGTATGCAAGCGTAGGGGCAAGGCAGGGCAAGGCAAGGCGAGTGTGTGGCGTGGCGTGGCAAGGCCCACAGGCGTCTAAAAGGAGGCATGACATGGGCCAAAAATAGGCTGCGCTGCCGACACATATAACAATGGATGTAACGATGCCCCCAGAACTTGTGGGGCCACCCCTCCCCACCCCACCCTTTTGATGTCGAATTGCAGACATCTGATGCTTTCACTTTTGCTTGTTTGTGCCTGCCACGTCGCATCTCTCTGACACGCTGCACTGGGAGGCACTGGGAGGCACTGGGATGGGGGGCGCTAATTGCATTCGGCTTGAGCGCAGCGTTCAGGCAAATGTTTTCCCAAAATTAAATTTAATTGCGCCGCAAAACGACGGGCCAATTTGCAGTCATGGACATCGACATGGCAAGGAGAGAACTGAACTGCAACCCCCCCACGCTCCAAACAGGTGAAACCACCCACTATGCAGCATCAGCAGCCATCACCCCCCCGCTGTGGCATGATTTCCTCTCACACCCCGTCATACGGATGTGAAGTGTTTGCAACGCCCGCAACACAATTTGGCAACTTGCCACAAAAATAAAAATGAAACTGAAATATTTTGCCAAAAACAGCAAAAAAAAAAAAAAAAAAAAAAAGAAGAAAAAAAGCTGAAGAGAAATCCTTAAAGCGGGGCTCTGACGGACTTGAAATGCACTCAAGCGCTGTTTATGATCTTACGCCCCTCCCCACCCACAGACCCCTTATATTTTGCAGCGCATAACGGGGTATACGTGTATCGAATCGAATTTCGATAGCTGTTAAATTTATGTGCAAATAAGGAAAGACTTGACTTTTTTGTGCCCACTCCTGGATAAATGAAGATAGGCAAGAGATATTTAGCCACTGTTCTTTTCCCCTGAAAAACTCTGCTTTAAACTCCGCTTTAATTCAGTCATGAATCTGTGATGAATATGCGATAAATCTGTGATGAATCACAGATATATATCTGTAGAGTTTCATTGAAGAAACAGTCCAAACAGCACAGTCGGGCAAATCAGCAGTAGATTATCCGGCAAAAGCAATACCTCAATAACGTAGAATTTAGTGCGATTTTTCTTTATCCCAAAAAACAGATTGAAAATCGCAAATTTATGATATAATTGAAATGAATTGATTTATGATATAATTTAGTTCGTTTAGCACGTTTTAATCTGTTATTTTGTTGTAAAGGAAAATCTTCTAAAATTCTACTTCAATGACCACTTCTGGTTAAACAAAAATGAAAGTTTATGGAGTGCTCATAACGGAAACATTTACACACACACAGCTGCAATTGCCAGAGTCATCTGTTATTTTGTTGTAAAGGAAAATCTTCTAAAATTCTACTTCAATGACCACTTCTGGTTAAACAAAAATTAAAGTTTATGGAGTGCTCATAACGGAAACATTTACACACACACAGCTGCAATTGCCAGAGTCATATAAAAACAGTTTCCAACTCCATAAAAGAAAAACGTTCGTTCGTTCATTTTATTAGTTTTATGTGGCAGTTGTGTTGGCTTGGCTTGGCTTTCTGCTGTTTTCAGTTGGTAAATTGTCAATTAAATAGCAAATCAAGTTTCCATTTAATACCCAATTAAGCTGCCCCACACTGCTGCCAATTAAATGCAATTTTCCTCTGACCAATTAGTGTTTCACATATTGCTTTTAATTGTTTAAGTTAGTTGCTGCTTGTATGTAGTTTCCTTTTTGGTTTACTGGCAGCAACTTATTTTTCCTTTGCTTTTCTTTTATTGTCTGTCTGTTGTTGCAGCGGAACGCAACACCTCCTTGAGTTATATTTTAGTCAAAGAACAGAAAATACAGAAGGGAAGCCCCAAAGAATTTCTTAAACAATTTACAGAGTATGGATCGAGGGTCTAGCATACACTGGCAGCAGACCATTCATCGTTGCCTCCTGCTCCTGCTCCGGCTCCGGCTCCCTTCCACTGCTGTTTCAGCATTCCCATTCAATGGCTCTGGCTCCAGCTCCAGCTACAGCTACAGCTCCGCTTAAATTGCATTCCCTGCATTGCATTTTCAGCAAGGGAAAACTTGCTGCGCTGCGCTGCGCAACAGGGGAGCTCAAGGATGCCAAAAGAGTGGGGAGGAGAGCAGAGCTGGCTTAACGTGGCTTTAAGCATAAAGCAGGCCATAGATTACCCCAACAGAAAGCCAGAGGCAGACAGAGAGAGAGAAAGAGAGGGGGTAGAGTGCAGTTGGAGTGCATGGGCATGCAAAATATTGTGTTTGGGGGTCCGGCTATCTATCCCCTGTTCAGACTTATCGCAACGAGAGCCATAATCGGCAATTAGGCAATTTAACGCCTTATTAACGTCCATTAGCCAGCGCCAACTAATGGACGAGTGGAGATGAGGAGATGGAGGGCCCAAAACAAACGATACGATATACTCGTACATATCCTTTAGCCCACTGCACGCGCTCACTCGCTCACTCTCCCCCTGTCGCTGGTGCCCTGTTACTCCTCCAATGCAGTCTCAAGTTGCAGCTCGATGGGCACTCATATTTCACCCAACCAGCAGCAGTGCAATGCAGTGCCCTG